AGTATTGTCGTCAAACGAGCGCTCATTAGATATGTTGTCTCCGTTGAAGTTGTCTTACAGAAGCTTGTTTTAGCTGAGCAAAAACAGAGACGATAGACACAGCACTAGGGTGGCCCTAAGACATAGGTGGTGATAATTTTTCTCAGATTTTTTTGCTCCCACCCCCTAAACATGATCCAATGTATCAAAAAATGACCCTTGCACAATTTGAGCCCACTCGGACAATATTAACACGTGCCCCAAGCACCACTTTTTTGCCAGAAATTGAGAAAATCGGCAAAAAATTTACAAAGTTGCCCGTAACTCCAAAAATACAGTTCTTACCAAAAAATGCATAGAGTACAGAAATGTTGCAAATTTAATTTACTACTTAAGAGGTCCTTAGCATTTCTACTCTCAGACCAGTCATTCTGCCACAATATATGAAAGTTGAAGGTTACCGCCGGACAGCTCTGAAATCTCTCATATGATGCTATGTGATGTTACGGCGTCACATCATCGGATGACACGGCTAACTCAACATTCGGCTGTTTTTCGAAGTATTTTCCACCACTTTGAACACAAAGCTTCAGCCGTTCTGCCCACTTCACAAGGATCGTCTTTTCGAAGTCTTTTTGACGAAGGATTTTGAAGAATTTTTGAATAGCTGTTTTGATCTTGGCTATGGAATGGCTCTTTCCTGAATTGAAAAAATCTATGAGAGGCACACGGTTTGATTCCATAGCCGAGATCAAAACCGCTATTCAAAAATTCTTTAAAATCCTCCGTTAAGAAGACTTCGAAAAGACGATCCTTGTGAAGTGGGCAGAACGGCTGAAGCTTTGTGTTCAAAGTGGTGGAAAATACTTCGAAAAACAGCCGAATGTTGAGTCAGCCGATGAAGAAGCTTGAAGTTCGTCGATTTTCGTAAGATTTTGTAAGTTTTTTCAATAAAAACACTCAATTCTCATTTAACTTTTTTCTCTTGACAAACATATTTGTGGCTAAAAATCCTAGAGGCGGTCATACTACATGTCATTTTCAAAACCTTGTATCTCTGCCATTTTTTAAGCTAGAGAGATGTTCTTGGTCTTGTTTTATTGGTAATTACGTCTGCTTCAAGTACAAGTAAACCGCAAATCGAAAGCTGCTTTCGTTCGCTCAAAAGCCGGAAATGTGCAAAACTTTTTGAACACCCTATGTATGTCCTTTCCATTAACTTCCGAAGCGTCTGAAATCTTAATTCTTTTTAAACTACCAGGAAAAGAGCTCTCAGCATCTAACGCCTTAACCATTTTACTTTTCTCAGAAGGTGGATATCATCGTCAAAAAAAGCTAGACCACAATTTTCTGGTGAGAGGTACCATAGATAATTAAGAACTTTTGATAAAGCAGCTTCTGAAATTGCCGTGTCTACTTTCCTGTACTCAATAAGCTGCTTTACATAAGTTTAAGTCCACGGCTGGTGCCTTGGTTGATAAAGGGGCAGAGAACCACTTCTTCAAATATAATTTTACAATGAAAGTACATAAATCCCTTAAATTGCTTTTTTCGTTTCGTGTTAGTCGAAAATTGTCTCTGAATAAAAATATTTTTAACGTGTAAATGGCTTTTGCCATCCAACGTGCATGATGAAAGGCCCCTGGTGCACAAATCGATTTGTTTGGAGGAAGAGGCTCACCAAGAGACAACAAAATTAGAAGCAAAAATTCTTCATAATCCTCTCTAGGCTGTTGAATTTTTAGCGTTTCCTTAACAAACTTTATTATATCAGGACGATCAGTCTCCATAATTTTTTTCACTGTCTTATCGTTGATGCCTGGTTTAGATTACGTGTCAAGCCCCCGCAGATTATTGCCCCATGAAACAAACTGGGATTTCATTGCTCCGCAAGATGCGGGGCATTGCAATAAAACTTGTGGTGCGGGGCAATGAAACAAAATTTTTGCAATCCCCCGCAGGAATGAAATAAAATTGTTTCAAAGCCCCACACCAAGAATTGTAGAATTTTATTCCCCCGCAGATTATGTTATTGACTTTTGATAACCTCACCTGGTAAAAAAAACATCAAAGTCAGCGCAAAATTCCTAATGCCATTTTTTATCACTTAACTAGTTACATTTGACAGCCCTCCCTCTTATAATTGGTTGATATCTCATCAGTATATTTTGCAAGGAAATAATATTCATTCAGCAGTCCAGTCCATTTATTTGTAAATATATGAGTGGACGGCAAAACTTGCATGCAACAAAGGAAAAGTATGAGAAAACTCACCACCGAATGCATCGAGCTCTCCAACAAAGGTAAGATCTTTAAATTTCAATCATCCGATATTGTAAAACACTTAAAGTACCGGAATTCACAAAATTCTCAACACTTCCAATGTCCTCCCTTCTTATTCATAAAGGAGTCAATATACTCATTGAAAATTATAAACTTGCCTTTTTACTTTTTGAAAGTAAAGAGATAAAAATCTTACACAGCGCTCCTGCTGTTTCAAGCATTTTTAAGGTAAATTATCAAGATCTCGATGATGGGATTTTGCTGCTAAATCTCTGTTAATGACTGATCATATAAAGAAAAAACAGTCAAATCACAGAGTGCTAGTAGCTTTCATTTTACCAGGTGGACTCCAGGAAAGCAGGCGCATAGGGTGGATGAATTCTAAAAAAAATAATACATAACAGGCATTAATGACTTTGTTCTCGTTGAACAAAAAATTTCAAGAACTGACAAAAGACCCTCGATAGTTTGGTATGTCGAACGACATGTTAGATGTAGATTTTAGTGAGTCCGGAAAGAAGGAGACTTGTGGGTGGGCATGAGCCGAAAAGTGTTTTAGTGGCCCTCTGGAGGTCTGTCTGAATTAAAAAAAAAAAAAAAAAAAAAAAAAAAAAAAAACTGAGTTTTTTGTCTTTATTGTGATGAATTTCAATTATTCCTGGAAGTTTCTTCGCCTCTTTTCTTGTAGTTTTTTATTTTCTTTCTTAGTTCAAAACTTTTTATCTTTTTTTCAAAATGAAAATCCGGTTTCAGATTTCCTACTTAAGATAAATTAAAATCTAATGTTTAACTACTATCCAATATTTTACACTATGTTCAAAATTGGTAAACATCGTGCAATTTAAGAGCCAGAATCTCATCTTTCAAAATTGGGTCAATTTTTTTCTCTCTCTCTCTCTTTTAAGTTTTCAAATCACATACTGACTAAAGGCAGAACGAACATCTCACTTGGAAGGAGCCTGCAGCCCAGCTTAGATATCAAAACTAAGTACTTGCCAAATTGCATTGGTTAATCCCTTTAAGAGAAATTTTATTGATCCTTAGGACTATTTTTCCCCTTTTAACAGATTTTGAAGGTGCTGTGGCTGAGTATGTGACTTGAAAAATCCAAGGGGAAAGTAAATTGATGATATAAACCTACTCAGGAAGGAATCAGTGTAGTTTGAGGTTTCCACCATTTCCAAACTACATGCCAAATTACCTTTAATAAGCCCTTTGAGAGATATATTTCATTTACCGCTAGGAGTATTCTTTCCCTTTTGACAGATTTTAAAGGAGTTCCTGTAGCAGTTGGTAGTATGTGACTTGAAAAACGGGGACAAAATATTTTAGGTCTCTATTAGCCCAGAAGAACACCTATTCAAAGTATCAGTTTTGCACTTTGGCCATCGATATGTTCTTCTTTGCTTATGTATGTCGAATAGTTCTGTCGATAGTAAAACCCACCATGTCCATTTTTTGATGAGCCTCGACTTGCAATCGTCCACATGGATCGCAGAGTGCATCAAGAAACAGACACGTCAGGTTACAACATGGACGGACACAAGCGACAAGCCCGACTGCCGTGATAGCGAAGAGATCGGATGAACCTCGAGACACATAAAAACATGTGCTAATCATGGCTCATGCAGAAATGCCCTTACTACTCTCTTCGCTATCACAGCAGCCGAAGTTGGCTGGAGTGCTGAAACGATAATTGATTGATCCCTCACGGTGGCACTAATTCAGCGCTGTCCGCAAGTGTGTTCGTGCCCAATTACTCACCGCAAGAGGTCCATTATCGCGGCGGGATCGTCGGGAGGAATTCGGGAAAGAAACGATAGCCAGTCTTTTAAAAAAAACAACTGAATGTATTTGAAAAACTTAATTAATAGGAAATGTCGGTCTCGGGGCCGGGGGGGACCCCCGCCGCCGGCACAAAGAGCGCAGAGAAACACAAAGACCCGAACGTATCAACTTTCGTTCGAGAAGAAAGTCGCTAATGAGTCATCATGAAATTAAAAAAGCTGCGAGGTCGGGTTCCCCGGTTCGACGGAGGAACAATGGCTCTCCGTGCGAAAGGGGACCGGAAAGGCGACCTGTCGCGCTGCGATTGTCTGGGTTTCGCCGTCTGTCGTCGGTTCTCTGTTGAGATTTTCATGTCGGGCCCTTCCTTCCTCAATGTAAAAGAACACAAGCTCTTAATTCAAAACCATTTCATTCAGCAAATTGGCAACATTGTCTTTTCTCCATTTAAACCTATGTAAATATATCGATTCTTGGAAGGGACAGGTGCTCCGACAAGAATCGATTATTCAGCGTAGGTTCAAATTGAGGAAATCCAGTATTGCCAAATTACTAGATCTACCTCTGATTCAAGACGCATTACAGTTACAATCGAAATTTGAACCAAGTACACAGAAAATAACATGATTTTAATTGACTTTTGAGTTGCGGAAAGAATGAATAACTTACACAGATAAATCTGCAGGTGAATTCCGGTACATCCCTAGTGCTGTTCGTTGAGATTCAAGGCAGTATACAGTGTTGACGTCAAATTAGATTCCGTAAAATTTAACGTCCGACAAAAACAGGTCAGTCTTTAAAATCCTTCGCTTCGGTTATTTTTGTTTAATCTTCGGCTTGGATTTACACAGTACAGAGAGGTAAAAAATCTGGGTAATTTTCGCGGCAGGAAAATGTAAGTTTTCACGGTCGATCGTTCTGTTAGGCGCGGGGAGTGTAATTGTAGCGTCCAGTCATTTTCCATGAGCCGCGGTCAATGCGTACGTCCCGTCGTGAGGTTAATTTCAATTAGCGGTCTGCGAGGATCTCCAGTCGTGGGGTCTGCCTCGGAGTCGGTATTATTGATAATGATCGTTGATATAATGTCAGTAATGATGTGTGTCTGAGTCTCGCGTCATTCAGTTTTCGTCCGTCTCAGAGTCAGAGTCGGGGACCCTTAATTCAATCGTGCCAGTGAAAGTAAGTCGGGGATCGCAGGAAAGCAGAGTCATGCCCCGCGTAAGTTTCGTTTTCATTCGCGTCAATTAAGTTCAGTCGGGGTAATTGAGGAGCGTCGTTCCTCGTTCGCGTCAGTCAACGTCAAATTCGTTTGTCAAAGCGTCGAGTTTTTGCGTGCCTACGTTAAACTTCGCCATGTTGAGGCTGTTGATCCTCCCACGGTCAGTTCTACACTGAGAGACATTTCAACGCAAAAGTTTGGTTAATACCGGAAGAAAAACACAAAATCAACACAAAATTGGTGTTGTTTGTATTTCACATCTGTATTATCCAAAAGTAACGCGAGAACGAAGATATCTCTAACAGTGTATTGCTTTTTTATCAATATAAATCGAAAGTCCGTCTGTCGTGTCTCACAGGTAGTTTCGTAATAAGTAAATTGTCGTCGAGTCACATATCAAAATAGTTATCGATATGATAATATACAAAACTAGCTCGTCAGACTCTCACCGAAAAGGAGTATCAATTGATACTCAGTCTGATACTTAAGTTGGAAAATGTCTGCTTTTGAAAGCATATGTCTGAGCCGTCAGTAAGAGTTTGCGGTATAATGGTTCCGTATTTAAAAGTCATAAAGTCGTTTCAGTAAGTAGTCATTCAGTAAGTAGTTTAAAGTGAAGGTAAGGGGTTGTCGTCGGTGAAAAGAGATAGGGTACCGGGAAGCATGTGAACTGGAAGGAAGGAAATACTCAGTAGAGGAAATAATATCAAACATCGCGGGAAAATGCAATAAAGCAATGACTAAGCAAACGGAGGAGAAAGCGGAAGAGGCTCAAAAAGCTTCGATCAAATGGCGCAGTTAATGATATCATTTGCGGGTGGTCCTTTCTTATATATCATCTATTTAAATGCATTTTACCGTATACTGACTGACCGTGAGCAGTGCAACCGGTTGCAGAAAAGCAAGAAATAATTTGGTGCCGTTTCAGCTTGAGCAGACCGGGAACCTCCAGGTAAATATGGAGGATGCGGTCTGGAAAAATGAGCGATGGAAAGCGATCACGTCGAGGGTGACATTTTGTTGATTGCATTTGTTGTGTCCTGCAGGGCCCTAACATGCCGTGAAGTGTGGTATTGAGATATAGAGTCGTTCGTGATGTGCGTTTGATATTGTCATTTTGGGAACGTTGCCTAGTGTTTCGTGATCGGTCATCATCATATAGATAAATTGGAAGTCCGTCATGGTTGAGATAGGTTGTATGGTAGTTTCAAGTTCATACGGAGACAACATCGAGTCACTGAAGTTGTAAAGCGAGTACGGTGTGGTATTTGGTAATCTCATCCAATTTAGTAGAGTTGGCAACTGTTTTGATGGTTCGGATTCATAGTAAGAGTAAGGAGAGGGGAGTAATTTTTCACAGCCATATTTTGGTTAGAAATGCGATTCTTTTCTCTGTCAGTTCTGTATCTGCGCCTAATCTACGTCTCAAGGGTAAGAAAATTGGTTATCGTATATTTATCAGATTTTATGGTGCAAAATTCATTTCTTTGTGATATAAATGAGATAAATGTCAGTCGCGTCAATGTTGGTCGTCATTCAATCTCTTTTTTAATTTGATGATGATTGCATTCTATATCACTGGATGCCTCACGCTTTGTGTTTCTGCGGTTTGTACAAGATGTAGTTTACAATTACAGAAATATCATGGCCGTTGAAATTTTGTTTTTAATTTTTTTCGAATATAAATAAATGACTTAGAACGAAACATTTGGCAAAACTGCTGAGACTTTAAGTCACGGGTATTTACAGCTTTTATCGAGATTCTATCATTGAAAAAAATCAATTACATTCAAAAATTTATGAACTTCATAAATTTTATGGTTCATATAATAAATTACTTAAAAATTAAGAAATAAATTAAGACATAAATAAATAAGTTAACATTTACAAAAGTACATCTTTGAAAAATCAGGGGAAGTTTGAGCATGGAGGAGAAGATTATTTCAATCTGCCTTGAGACTTACAAGTTCGAACTTTGTTTCGTAAAAAAAAGGGTGTGCGGTTGTCGGGGAATATTTTCAAATAACGTTCAAATCATCGGCACTATGTCAATGATGAGTGATCAATAACAACCGATTTAAGTAACATATCAAAGATCCTTTTTAAAGTCGTTAAATTCAAATTAATTTGAGACAACGCGCATTGTTCTAATTGAAAAAACAGTCACTTTTTTGGCACAATTATTAAACAAGAACCAATATCTGCAAAATGAGAACCATCAATCCAGAATTGAATGTTCAATTCAACTTGAACTCTCTCATTAAACTTTAAATTTTTGATTTTAAGCGTGTTTAAAAAATATTCTTGTGGAAAAGATCACATCTCACTTCTTACGGGAAATTGATCCCCTATAAACACATTAACTATTTTCAATGTTATTCTAGGAGATCAAATTATCCCAGTAGCCTTGAACAAAATCGCGCATCGTTAGGTTAGAATCTATACGACCAAAAAACGATAATATCTGCGAAATTGGATTGTGTAGCTTTTAAAAACTGCTGATTCATTGAGGCTACTTTCAGACACTTTTTTTTTTATTTAATTTTTACTAAAAGGGATCTTCTTAAATAATCTTATGTTTGTGCTTAGAGCCTTCGGCACGTCAAATTCGACGAAATAGAAACATAATGAGAATCGTGCCGTTATGTTTCTCGAGGCTTGGAGCTCGGAGTCTCTGGATCTCGTTGGCGATTAGGGCGAACTGATTTGGACGGTCATATTTATTGGCGGGAAATGGAACGCTGAGTCGGTCCCCACATTCATGGGGTTTTGATTGATTTACTGCTGGGGCTTCTGGGCTCCGTAGGCGAGGTTGTGGGTGACGTCATTGATGAGCGAGCGCCTGTCCCATCCACCGCCGTGGCCACCACCGCCAGAGGACCATCCGTGCTCATGCGGGTGCTCGTGTTGTTTGGAGAGGAGCTTCTTGAGGGTGATGATGAGGGCCAGGACAAGGGCGATCTTGGAGATGATGAAGGCCTTTCCTGCCAGCAGGAACAGGGCTCCGATCGCCAACGGGATTAGCATCATTGCCTTCATGGCGATGGCCATCATGATCATGCTCATCTGCTTCTTGGACTTCCCTCGGGCTGAAACATAAATATTTTTCAAGTTGTAGAAGGCACGTCGCGTTAAAGAAATACACCGTAAAAGCTTAAGAAATAATATAGATATCTATACTATATATAATAACAAAACAAGTTCATATACACCTTGATAGTTTTCAAAACAGACGTTTTCGACAAACAGAGGCGGATCCAGCAATTTGGCAACACTGGATTCCCTCCATTTAAACCTATGTTAAATAATCGATTTTTGCCGGAGCATCTGGCCTAAAGTACCTATATAGGAAGAGTATGGACGTGTCGAAAATTCAAAAAAAAAAAAAAAAAAAAAAAAAAAAAAAAAAAAAACAATCTCTGTGATGGATAGGGTCTTTCTGAAATATTTCAATTTAGATTTAAACCATATGCTTAAGTACAGTTGTTTGGATTTAAATTTTCATCACACGTGGGCTATTTCAACAAAGCGCGCACCTTTAATTCATCGAAATAATTTTTTAAGACATGGATTCTTAATAATTCTCCGAACGCACATTTTTCGGGTTTAGTAAAGCTCGTAAGAATGATATCATCGGCTTAAAAACCCAAAATATGAACGGAATGAGCATGAAGCCTGTGCGGCTTACAGACTAAAATCGTTTTCGGAGTTCATTGAAGGAAAACGATTTAACATCATTCCTTGGAACTGAGAATGACATTTTAATAAGGAGCTAACTACGTTTTTTCCGTCAGTTTCAAGCGGTAATTTTCCTTGATTTTATTTTTTAAAAATTAAATTTGAGAGGAAACCACAACGTTGCAATGCTTGTCCTTTTCCTCTTGGATACTCGCGTTTAAAATAAAACTATATGAGCCCCTGCAGTTAATTTCTGAAAAAGTAGGCAAAGTTGAAGTGCCCTCAACTTTCTATGTATGCAATTTGGACATCCCCAGAGTTGATACAATTGCATCCAGACAATCTCAATCTCATCGTTGTCGTGTCGTATAACGCTATACTCTAACTGAACATGACCATGTGCACTGCGTTAAACAGAAAGGAACCAAGCCACACCAGCTATTGCCAAATTTAATTGGGCAATTTAATTCTATGCATGAAAATGGTTGTGCGGATTATTGTGTAAATTTCAGCGAATTTTCTCCACAGTCCGAAGCACATTCCTCAAAATTGTCAAAGGAATCCGCACAACCCTTCTCTCGTAAAAAATTAAATCGCCCGGTTAAATTTCGCAATAGCTGATGTGGCTTGGTTCCTTACTTAACGCGGTCCATTTTATGATGCGCCTTTTAAATGAAATGACGCCTAAAAATGCACGGAAAAAAATTGCTGATTCAACAATTCAATTGCTAAAAACAGTGAGTGCAATGTTTCAACGCAGATTTTACAAGAAAAAATGCTACTTTAACCACATTGTAAACTAATTTAACCACGGGGGTGGTTAAAGTAGCATTTTTTCTTGTAAAATCTGCGTTGAAACATTGCACTCACTGTTTCTAGCAATTGAATTGTTGAACCAGCACTTTTTTTTCCGTGTGGCCTTTTAAATGCGCCCTCTCAAACACTCACGCTGCGTTTTTCGACAATCGATAATACCGATGAGACATTACTGTGTTTAGGACTTTCGAGACGTGCTCTGGAGCAGTGATCAATCATTTCGCTGCCGAAATAATACTCAGGCTGTGTTGATTTCCCGGGTGCGATTCCAGTTGTCGGCATTGCCCACTCCGAGGCGCGCGATTCCGAAAAGGGAAAGTAATTCAGTTGAGATATCGTATTCCATCACGTGCGAGCAGGCGCAGTGCGTGGCACCTGATGTGATTTTGATCGGAAATTGAAAATGGGAAAGAAACAAACGGGAGTCCGAGAGGGACCAGGAAGCCGGCTCACAATTAAAGCGTGGCATCAGCGGTGCATGCCTGCCTGTTCCATGTTGCCAAGTTGCGATGAAATCGAAAAGGTCTTGCACAAATTTTGTCAGGAAGCAGTTACGATGAACGCTCCCAGTTAGGTCAGAGTGTCAAAATTCATGAAAAATGAAATCTTGAAATTCCACGTGATATATTTCATGAAATTTCAGAAATTTTTGAAAGACATTGAAAAAGACCGGTTTCTTCTCATGTTTCACAAAATGTAAAAAGTGTGACTTGACTTGACTATTATTGGGTGTTTGAGTGCGGTTTGCATACTGTACCCTTGAGAAATATGAAATATTTCACAGCCTCATGAAATTTCATGAAATATTTCAATGTGATTTGATTTCCAATCTTTCACTTCTTTCTTACGTTTCATGCCACCCTGAGATATTTTATGACGTGATATGACATACAAGCGGGCACGGTAATGACGAGTAGCACCGCACCGACTGGATGTAACTATACCAGCTCTGAGGATATCTAGGTTGCATACACGAAAATTTGAAGGCGTTTTAATTCGTTTGCCCTTTTCCTTTTCTCGATATATGCAGGGGCTCTCATATTTTCATTTTGAATTTTAACATCCGAGGACTTACAAGACAAGTATTGCAACTTTTCAATACCTGGTTTTCATTAACGTAACCATAGTTTACAGTAAAGAAAGCTGGTTCAGAAACGTCATTTATAAAAAAAAGAAACTGATCACATTCACAATATGAAGCTGCAACTGACAGAGACGGCCGCATTGCTGACGATAAAAATTTAAATGTGTTTCTGGATTCACTATTATTTGGCATATGGTGTCAGTGTAGGAAAGAATTTTCGAAAAAAAAATGTACGCTAGAGTCGTATAAAAGACCAAACTTTGTTTATCAACTTTTGTAGATAAACCCCTCCGATATTACGGCGTCTGATTTTGGTTAATTGGGTTAGGAGACACGTTCTTGTCATTTAAGCAACTAAGCAAATACGTCATTGGAAGTAGGAGGAGAGGAGGTACCCACGTACGCCAAAAGGGATAGTTCGAAATTCAGGCATGTATAGTCAATTTTTGATATTTGCTGAAGTGTTTCTTCTCCCAAAAGAAAAGCCCCTCTCTAATCATGTTCTGCCACCCCCTGAATTTTGTTTAAATGCTACCTCTATAACATGATATCTTTTTTTTCGATCTGTCAATGGCTCAAAGCAGAGTAGTAGAGCCTGGATTTCTTTCGTCTCAAGATATCATAAGAAAACTATCTGGCGGCTTCCTAGCTTCCCCTGAAATTCGTAATTTAGCATCTCACTTCTGGCGTTTTATCATTGTCGAATTTTTTCATACATATTAACCTTAAGCATATTGAGAATGCCATCATAGGCAGATCTAAAGACGCGTGAGAGAAGTACGACCCCTTCCCCCGTTTTTCCGAAAAAAGTAGGGGGAAAAGAGAAAAGAGAAAGAAGAAAAGAACGGAGGAAAGAAGAGGGGAAAATTCTCATAATCGGAAATTATTCATAACGAAATTGACTTAAACTGCAAATTAGATGCTTTAAAATTTCAACGATTTTCTCTAGAAAGCCCCCCGAACCCTCCGTATACCACCCCCTGCCCCGTTCGAAGTGTTTGAAATCCGCGTATAAGTGCCGAAGACTAGGTATCTCGATAAATGTTAGGCTTACGTTATTGTCTAATTCATCAATCCGGTGTTACACAACTCTTGCGATTAAGACGTTTTCCATTTGAATTTCATCACGTTTATCTTATGTAGCTAAACAAAGGAGCTCTATCTGATTTTCCGCTCGGCATGTACGTCTAGAGCTGATCCACCGTGAAGGCAACGCTAACGTCGTATATCAAGCATCCAAGTCCTGACACAGGGTCCTCAGTGGCACCCAAATCTCTATTCTTCCTGGAATCGCATTCGCGACAATCAAACTAATGGAGTTTCCCTCCCGCCCTCCCCACGAACAACAGATCAAAACGAAGTTAATGCAACGGTCCTTGCTGATTTGTTTCATCACCGTAAGGTAACGTAACATTCTTGCGGGAAAACTTTCTCTACGAATGGATATGAATGTCCGTGTCAGATATCCTCCGCACATTTCTTATCAAAGATCCGGCTAGTCCAATTGTCCGCTGAAAATGTTGCTGTCTTTTTTGACAAGAGTGAAACCATCCGGCTAAACGAAGTATAAGGAACGCTTTGTAAGCGTGGTTGATGTTAAATCTTGTCAATTTCGTCCGAGCTCTTAATGGAATTATAATTTATTCATGGAGAAAATCCATCCGCAATCTGACACTCTTTTTGATTTCTATTATAAAATAACAGCAACTAAAAGTTGAGACTTAGTATTGTGTACATATTTTCCCTCGGTTAGACTAAACATTTTGGTGAGTTAAAGATAACCAAAGAAGCACCCAATCATTCAATAAATTAGTATTCCAAGTCATTGTCAGTGAGTCTAGGTGCTGAAATCAGTAATGTATAATTGGCGTACTTTGTACAAGCTTTTTACGTATTTTTAAAGGAATCCCTGGTATAATTATAAAAATATAAGTTTCAAATTACTTTTCGTATTAGTAGGTGTTGTTTTTTTTTGTTTTGGTTCCAGTGACAAAACCTCCGGTAGTTTGTACATCTCAATCTTTGATGAAGTACGCAAATCTTTTTTCAGGAAAATCTCTTAAATAATTGAAAATAAAGTACGACGACCAATTGTAAAATCTAGAGGCTTCGATTTCAATGAGCACCTACTCACAAGCTAACGAACTAAATAACCTCTTGTTATGAACTTAATTAACATCATAACTCCTAATGCAGAGCCAAAATTTCAAAAATAAGGAATATTAGGAGGTGAACTGAGGCAATGAACGAGTTGATTGAACGAGAGAGTTGAGTCATGATCCAATTTCTATGGGCATCAGAAAGCTCGAAATATAATTCAGAAGAAATGCATTCAGAGAAAAGCACCCGAGTAAGAATGTACCATTGTGGTTTATAACTCTGATTTTCATTTAAATCTTGATCTTGAATTCCAGAAAGAAAGTGAAATCATTATGAGTCTAACCACGTATCGATTCATGTTATGAAAAAGTAACACCATAATTAAAGTTTTCAGAGCATTAGCATTTGAGG